TCTCGCAGATTTTGCTGATCCCGCTACACCACAGTTCTGTATTGATATTTAAGCCTATACCTGCCTGGATTTCTACCTTCTATGTCTTTCACTTGTTAAATCCCTTACCAGGTTCAGCTGCATGTCCCTTCTTCCCTTGACCCATCATCCCAGCTGTGTTATCTTCAGATCCACCGGATCCATGACGTAATCATTATGGCCACCCTTTTATGGGTACACTCATCCGGATCCAGGTCGCTTGGATCCGCTTCACTGTAAGCGCACACTCGTCGTGGATCTGAGCTCTCCAATCATCCAACATCGTCTTGCAACCGTCTGTGATCTCCATTGTCCCACGAACATTCGAGATCCACTGCATCCACTATCCCTGCATCCCGGATCCAGGTCCCTCTATGCGGGATCTTCCCTCCTTGGATCCGAACCCGGAAGTATGGGATCCGGGGCACCTCGCGGTGGATCCCGACTTCTTGTTAACCGTGGTTACTAGATCCACCTTCAGAGGGCACCTACCATCATTCCTTCATAGGATCCACACTCGATCCCCTCTTATATAGTATATCCCATATCCATCTAAGTAGATCCAGGAAAGGGTGGATCCGAGATAAGTCTTGGTGGATCTTGCCTTCTCGTACGTCGCTCATACCAGATCCATCGTCATTCCATACGGGGTGCTGCTCGTCATGGCTAATCCACCACAGGCAACTTGTACCTGTGCCACACAACCCAAATCCTCTCTAATCACTTGAAATTGTCACTGATTCGGGATAGTGACCCCGCGTCAGGCCCATTCTCTTATTTCTGAGAAAGCACTTCACCACAATCGCCTCCTGTACGTTGTCGGCGCTGCACAACAGCGTTCACGGCGTGCGTTACCAGCATCCACAACCGCTTTCTCTCCTTCGCGACACATGTCTCCCCGCCAAGCGTACCGGCAAATCGTCGGGCAAGGCCCCATCCACTACCCCTCCGGTCAGTCCGTCTTCTATGTCGCCCACGGATCTGCGGGCTCTAGCCCAGGCTCTTTTTGATCAGGTGCAAACCCTGACGGCGGAGCTCCAGACGGCTCAAGATGCCCAAGACCAAGCTGCGTCCCTACACGCTACCCAACTTCAGACCTTGCGGGCCCAAGTCCATGACCAGGCTATGGAGATCCAGGGATGGGAGCACCGTGCGGCCTCTCGGTCGCAGGACCTGCGACTCCTGTTGGCTGATCAGGCGGTCGAGATCCGCGACCTGACCGGACGGCTAGATCGCGCCTCCCGTCAACGAGACGTTATGCGAGATGACAACGACCATCTCCTTAGGGAGATGGCACTCGCCGGATCTGAGATCCACCAACTCCAATCCCGGATCCACGACCTCGAGCGGGATCTGGAGGATTCCCAGACTGCTGGGGCAGCTGCGGATGTGAGCTTGGACTGCCTCCGTGACGAGTTGCGTTTGACCCAGGAGGAGGTGGTGACCAACGACTATGTGGGATCCACCCATGGCGGATCCGCCTTAGGGTCGGCGCGTGGAGGGTCCCCCGCGCCAAATCCACCTCCCTCATCGCCGGATGTAGCCCTGGCTCAACTCTCTGAGGAGTTGCAAAACACCAAGGAGTCGCTCGAGAGGGCGTCTGCCGGACGAGATTACGCGCTTGAAGAATTCGTACGTATGACTCGATCGCGTGACGAGATCCAAGCGAAACTGGCGGACAGCGAACTCCAGCGGGACAAGGCGGCTACCGAGTGGGCGGATGCCAAGCGTACGCAAACGGAGCTGGAATCCAAGCTTCGCCGCACTAGTACGTGGATCCTCTTTTAGCCTTTGCTAGTCATGGTTGGTCATCGCTGGTGGTGTGAGTGCTGATGGTGGTA